CCATCCTGTGGGAGTTATGGACTCAGATTTTTTTGTATGAGGTAAAACAATGTAAAAAAAAAAAAAAGTAATTCTTGTTATATTCTTCTTGTAATTCTTGTTATATGCTCTTGTTATATTTTTTTTATTTTACGTAATCAAAATTATTTTAAAAATATTGGGGGGAATGCAATAAAGAACAGATTACGCACAGCCTGAAACCTGAAAGCCATAAACTGACTAACCAGAACTATACCATAACTACCCCCAAAATATCCATTCTCACCTACCATAAGCACCCCAACTCTGGCATGCCTGCCCCTCCATCACTTCCGTCTCTGCCAGCTCTATAACCAGCCCCTACAGTTTGCTCACTCTCCCCACCGGCAGCCGTGTATGCCGGAGAGCTGGTCCTCCTCCAGGTAGCGTTAGCTGATGGTGCAGTCAGGAGGCTGGAGGCAGCTGTGTGCCTTTCCCTGGCTCCTCAGCTCTGTCGTGACTAAGGCAGTAAAGCGCCCTGTGTAACCCGAGATGCATGCCAATGACTCCGGGCGCTGCAGGGGTCAGAGGTCAGAGGTCAGACGCAGGACTCAGCCCACCCTGTCCTCAGTGCGCTGCAAACGCCACTGTACGCCACCTTGAACCCCTGTTTCAGGGACGCGGCCAAACCTGATGGCATTTGTGCCATCAATCACTGGTGTTTGACCCGCTCCAAGAAAGAGGAGGAAAAAATGATTAACTCAGGTTGTTCATACTTCTGAAAAGACTTTAAGCCATGATCCTGATTTAATGTATTCCTAAGATTCCATGGCACTCATCACAAATAGCACTTATCACATCATGACACTCATCACTAAGGGTAAAGAGTTTTCCAGTTTGCTCTCAATCTATCTAATCCTCTCTCCAGAGAGAGAGAGAGTAATAGTAAATAAACAATTAAACTTAAATGGACCAGATGATTATAATTTGGCCAATCATTTTACAATTAGAATATTTAATCTGTGTGGTATTTTTCATTAGACTAAATTTGTATTTTTTTTTATTGATTCGGTATTAGGACTTCACTCAGCAGAAAGACTTGGATGAGAGAAATATGGGAGTTGGAGAGAGACAGAGAAGATGGAGTAAGGAGAGAGATCAAGGAGAGAGACTAAACAGCGTGGCTGAGGTGGGCCTGGAAGCCGGAGCTCGGCGTGGGCCAGCAGCACCAGCGGGTTTGGGTTACTGGATCACCCACACCGCAGGGTAGGATGGGAGCAGGACCAGACCAAGGCCCAGACTCTCCTGGCTCCAACGCCCCACGAGTCTCCCCGGAAAAAAGCCGCCTCTCCTCTCCCTTCCCCTCGCTCTCTACAGGAGCTGCCCTCGGCCGTCCCCTGATATACGAGCTCTCCGAAATCCTCTGTTGATCTTGGGTCGGGTCGCCCTCTCTCAGAGCGGCCGCGCTCAATCCAGTAACCTCAGGCTGCTAAGCTACTGTTCTCCCGCTCTGATTGATGGCCGCGTTCAGGTTGTCAGGGTCATTACGGTTTTGCGGGGGTGTTTTTTGCGCTCTCTCTCGCAGTGTTTTTTGGAAACCGCTCCTTGCTTTGTGCGTGTTTTCTGATGTCATAGTTTAGACGGAATAATGACTTAATGAATGCACTGTACGAGGGACTCCCCTCTGATGTTATTAAAAAAAAAAAAAGAATTTTATAAATTGCTCGCAAAATACCATGATGTGGAAATGAGAGAGAAACAGAGAGAGAGAGAGAAAGTAACGTTCCCCCCGTGTTTGCTGTTTTCGGTTACCACGGCAGCAAAGCTCCGAATACATTTAGATTCAAAGAAAACAGTTTTAATGCCGCTATCTCAGAGCCAATAACATTCTAAATCAAAATCATCTGCGGCATTAAATCACCTTCTAATGAAAGCGACGTCTCGGCCTGGTTCACGGGCGAGCCAGAGCGTTATTTTGGTTCGCTGTCATCACATTGCTCCGCAGCCTGTTTGCAGACTAAACAAGTGGAAGCCACTCAGTAATGAAGCCGTAAGAACAGGCCGCGCTGCAAACAGCATTACCTCAGGAACAGGTAGTTAACCTGTTTCGTTCAGAGGATTATCACCTGCGTCAATATGGAGTTATTAGCAACACTATTATTTGTGGCATTACCAGCACCGTTATAATGAAATCTCATTGTGGTAATCAATCTTAATTAGATGCAATGGCACAGTGCGCCCCCTAGCTGCTGTTTGAACTCATTCTTACTGTAGGTGGGATTTCACTGTAGAATTTTCAAGTAAATGAGAAAGTAAATGAGAAAAAAAGGAAGGGCCATTCACCTCACAGAGGACTGTCATCTTTAACCATGTTTGACATGGCATTGATTAAGCAGGGCTGGAGAACTTACAGTTTGCTGTGTTCATCACAGAAAGAATTACAGAAAAATGTTCTTTTTGCTGACCTGAATCTAAATTTATCTCTCGCTACCCTGGTGTTTTTGAACTAAATCTAAGTTAGCAACCTAAAGACAAACTCAGACCACGTCAACCTGTACAAGCATCCAATAAGACTAACAATGCCCTTCTCATTTATCGAATTGAATACAGGGTTATACATTTACAAGGCAAAGGTCACTCCAATGAGAACAGTGTGTACACTAAGGGGTTTCGTGCACTCTCGACCGTAGAAATGTTGTAATGCTTAAATCGAGCGCCAAGTGATTTAAGAAATGCGTACAGATTGTTTTATGCAAAATGAGCCACAAGTATGTAATGTGAATGCATGATAAAATGTCAATTGGAGTCATTTTTTTCCTTGTTTGTTTTGCTTTTCTCATTACAGAGCTAATTTGAGGCGATAAATCTCTTCTTAGGGGTTTCATGCGAATATGAAGGACAATACTGGCTTCCACACACTAGCTTCCACTCTGACAGACCAAGCCCTCGCAATTCAGCAATTTTCATGCCGCAAACCGGCCCTCTCCACATTGACGAAATTCAAACCTGCTGCGCTGTCACATGCAGACACTCCGCGCTGTGCTCACACTGTGCACACAATGTTGGCTCACTCGCATCCCCGTCTGCGCTAAAGGACTGTATCTCTATCGCAAAATATTCTTTACAGAAGAGCGTGCGTAGATGATCTGATCATCGGCTGTGTCTGTCAGACGTATTAGTTGTGCGGTTGCCGTCTTGTCCTTTGATCTAACTGATTAGGTGCTGGGTTGGGCTGCTGTTGTTGGGTTAATGCAGTCTCATTTTATGTTGTGCTCACATGGGACTGGGAGTAAAGTGTTACAAAATTCCCCACTTATTTGCCTTGATCGTCTCATGGTGTTGTACATGTTTCGTTACTCAGTGCGTCTACTGTTTAAAAGGTTAAGCGTATTAAGTTAATTGCGCAAAAAATGTTCTCTGAATGCTGTAATTTGAAGGCTATGCTGTCACTGAGCCATTATCCAAGGCTCTGCTGAAACAACACCACTGCTGCCGATCCACCGGCCGAAGCTGTTGACGTTCTGCAGAAACAGGAAACGGTGAGCAAAAAAAAAAAAAAAAGTTTTTCGCTTCAAAATACACAATTCTGTTTTTCAGAACAACTGGAAATTAAAGTTTGGCCGCTGCATTATGCCAGGGTTCACCCGTCTCCACGGCAAACCCTGGTTGCAGACGCATTTAACAAAAAAAGAAAAAAAGGGAGGGAGGCGGAATGTTGTCAACCTTCCTCTGATTGGACGAGGTCCAGGAAGGAGACGGTGTGAGGGGCGGGGCTGTCGCCGAGGTGGCGGGAAGGAGAGGAGACTGGGTGGTGAGAGGCGTGGAGGGTGCCCGCGCCTTGCCTGGCCTGCCAAGCTGCGCTCCTGGCTTACCCTCTGAGCTGCGCGGTGCTAACCAGGCTGCCCAGGCGCACGTCTGATGGAAAATGGGGCGTTTATCGTGAACTTTGAAAGCCACTTCCTGGTGTCTCGCCAAGGTAAAGAATGCAAAGGGGAGCTCGAACTGCCGTCGTCCCTCTGTGCAGGGCGTCTGTGTGCCTCTGCAGACGAATAATCAGAGTGTGCCAACGGGGGAAAAAACGAGAGAAAAACTGAAATAAAATAAAGTAAAATAAAATGAGAAAGAGTGTAGAGTGGATCCAGAGGTAGCTGGAGTAAAGGGGGGCATGAGAGAGAAGGAGAGAGGGAGAGGGTGCAAGACAGAGAGAGAGAACGGAGAGAGTAGGAGAGAGGGAGAGAGGCAAAGAGCGATTTCTCTGTGGTCCATGTTCTAATCAAGACCAATTCCATTGTCATTTTTCAGCCTGAGCATATGGGATTGGTAAACTTGAATTCACCTCTCTTGCGCAATTCTCTCTGCCTTTTTTTTTTGTACACAGGCTGGTTTGTGTTTACGGAAGGGTCCGAACCCGTTAGATATTTCAAAGGCTTGGCTTAAAAATAGCGGGCTCTGTGATTGCGATATGCATGGCAGCATAGCGGGTAACTCTGCTTTGGATCAGCGAGAGTGCCACGGAAAGAGCACGAGGACTTTGTTAAGACGTGTTTAATAACAATAGCAGCACTGGGACACCCTTCGGGGGGACGTGGCTCATTCACGGCCATTTCATTCGGACCGTTACAAACACAGCGAGACTCCACGAGAGAGGACGAGTCACGGCTCGCCATGCGGTCACCGGGAGTCCCGTATCGCCTTTCGTCCAGCGGATCATTAGACACGGGTGTGAGTGGGCCCTGCTGGGGTGTATGGGGTTTCATTGATATTTTAACATCCTGACATTCGGGGGAACGCACTGTCTAAAAAGCGAGACAAGTGCAAGGTCTGGTAACACCTACCTGCAGATCTGATCCAAATGTTCATTGATCAGGGCAGAGTTCCACACACTCCTCCCATGGGACACCATTACATTATATTAATGCCATTTAGGAGACGCTCTCATCCAGAGCGGCTTACACAGGTTACAGTTCTATCCACTCATACAGCTGGATATTCACTGCGGCAATTGTGGGTTAAGTACCTTGCCCAAGGGTACAGCAGCAGTGCCCCAGTGGGGAATCGAACCAGCAACCTTGTGATTTCAAGACTCACTCCTTACCACTGTGCTATACTGCCCTGCAAAATTTTCCCCTGAGGAACATGACAGGACAGTGCCAGAGGATGAGCCCTCTGGAGTGATGGGATAGGCTGGTGTCGCGCCACTCCCTGAGCCAATCCTGTGCAGTTCATTCCTATAGCACCTATATAGTGTAACTCTCAGGCTTTAGCCAACAGGCCTATCATCTGACCACAATAAGGAAAATCCAGAGCATCTGGATCATTTCTCATTTTGCCTCACGTCTAGAATATGTCTGCAAAAAGGTCAAAGGTCACCCCAGCATGAGTATCTGCTCTCTTCTCATCGGCCTCCAGAGATGTGGATGGATCGGAGCCAGGTGCTCTCACCTGGGACTCTGTAAAAAATATTTACAAATCATCCACAAAGAAAGCTCTGGCCTGGGCCTCGGCTCCACCGTCAGTTCATTAGATCTTATAAAACTTGGTCAAAGTGCGCTGTATTATTGAAAACAAACAAAGGCCAGTGTTGCAAAACCATGCATTCGTGCCAGAGCTGAAGTCCAGCGCTTCTGGCTGTGGTACAGGAGAATGGCTGGAGCCAGGTACTGGGCTATTTTCATCACTGTCCACCCATGCAAAGCTGTCCTGTGGGTGGGAAAAGGCATCAGCGTTAGGCAATGGGTGCGGCTGATCAGATGCTGTTGTGAGTATGGTTGAGAGCTTTAGCTGATGAAATGTTTTAGCTGATGAAACGTTGCTGTAACATTGTCAGCCCGGTCAGGAGGTTTGGTTGGTGACACGTTGTTTGATGTTGTGTGTCTGGTCAGGATGTTGTGGGTCTGGTTGAGTGGCGACACGTTGTTGTATCGTTGTCGGTCTAGTCAGGAGGTTTGGTTGATGAAACGTTTGTGATGTTGTGCAGCTGGTCAGGAGGTTTGGTTGATGAAACGTTTGTGATGTTGTGCGTCTGGTCGGGAGGTTTGGTTGATGAAACGTTTGTGATGTTGTGCGTCTGGTCAGGAGGTTTGGTTGATGAAACGTTTGTGATGTTGTGCGTCTGGTCGGGAGGTTTGGTTCGCGGCATTTTGTGCTCATGCTGTGAGTGTATGGTTGGGTTGGTGAGGCATGGTTGTGGGGTAACAGTTTGGGTCAGGAAGCGTGCTTGACTGAATGATCACAGAGTGCAAACTGTCACCATGGACTCTGTGTGAAACCCAATTTTCCATTGGCAGTAGCCAGTACACCACTCATACACATACCACCTCGTCCTCATTATTTTACCACTTACTCTTTCCCTACATGCAAAGCAGTGCGCTTTTAAAGAATATAGTGGTTATGAGAGCACCATGTTTCTAATCCCTGGTTCCTTCAGAGACCTTCCTCCAGGCCTTTTTCAGTTGATTTTTACTGCAATCATCCTTCTGGTAAAATCTGGTCAGCGCCCACCATATAACCTCAAAGCGCACTGCCTACATAACGCAGTTATGACACTCGACATAAGCGTCATAGGTTCCAGATTTGCCACCGGCTGCCGTGGCTGGTATGAGGGAGGCTTCCAGCCCGGGCCCCTTCCCCTGCCCATAATGGGATGTGCTGGTCATCATTAATTACAGCAGCAGTGTCGCATTGCGGTAAGGAGCAGGGCTCGAAACCAAAAGGTTGCTAGTTCCATTCCCGGCTGGGGCACTGCTGTGTGGTTCGGAAAGGTACTTAACCCAAAACCTAAATGGATGACATGATGAATTGTAACTTGTGTATGTCACTTTGGATATGAGCATCTGCTGAATGATAGTAATGTAGTGCTTATGGCCATATATAAATGCTAATTTCCATCATGTTAAATGTGCTGCTCTGTCATTATGCAGCTGTAATATTCTCTGTAAAACAACTTACTGCATGGCAGTGCCCCCAGTTTCAATCATACCTAAAGACCCCGCCTGGCCCCGCCCCTCTCTGCACAGAATCTCAGCTGCGTTTGTTGACTACCATCTGTTCAGTTTACCACAACAACAGCCAGCCCTCCTCAGCCAGAACACCAGCGATGGCGAGCACCCACAGCCAATCACGACTCAAGCAATTACATCATCGCACCATGATGTCATAATAGGCAGTGCGGTATGTCTCATCTCGAGTGGAAGCTGAGGAATGAGGGAAAATGAGAAAGGTTTGCTTCTAATTGTCTGACCTATTAAGTGAGGTGTCATAAACAGCTGGGAGGGCACTTGCTGGTTGCTGACTCTGTTCTTTTTTTTGAACAGTTATGGCGGTCGCTTGCAGGGAACCGTGCTGGTGGATTTAATGGCCGTACAATGAAACCTCCTGCGGATAAAACAACCGTCGAGGCCGAATTGGGATTTCTTTACACGCGCACGAACGTGACATATCTGCTTATTTTCTCTTCTTCTACAAATTGTACACTTAACAAAAAAAATTTCCACTGCTCTCAGCCAGTGAAAATAATTTCCCAGTGCGTGTTTTTTAAAATGTCTACTTTTCCTAAATATCACAAGGCCCACTAAAAGCAGAGTGCTACGTTTTATTCTCTGGATCTAATTTCCTTCCCCTGCTTCCAATCCCAGCGTTGAATCATAATTCATGCTTAAATTATACTACTAAGCTTTTTGCAACGGGTTGGGAATTGCAACAAAGAGGACATTCAAGCTGTGCCATGTATTGTATAGCTGATGGGGATTATATAGTCACTGATTTCGGAAAAAAATGCATAACAAGTCAAAGAGGGGAGGGGGAGCGGGTGGCAGTAAATAAAGTCTCTTATTAAGGTCTGATAAAGATGGAAACAGTGGCGTCCTCCAAAACAGGATTGCCTGCCTGCTCTCTGGCCTCTCTCTGGAGACGGCAGGGGCTGGGAAGGCGTCATTCCCAGGGCGGGGGCTGGACCCTGTCCTGCCCAAGCCCTTACTCTGGCGTGTCCCACCGCACCATGCTGTACGAGAGGAGATGAGCGGGAACAAAGAAAACATTATGAAGACGCGGTTATGACAGCTTTGACTACAAATAACTTACACAAGAGAAGTAATGAAGACGTGTGTGTGTGTGTGTGGGATTTTTTTATTTTTGGAGAAGACTGCTGTGGTTGTGGCCATGTCAAAAAAAACCTCATACAATGAAATATTGTTCATATTATGATGATGATGATGATGATGATGATGATGATGATGATAATAACAATGACGACGACGATGATGATGATGACAAAGCCGTTTCAATGTGCTGGTCTGTCTATAAATTATGATAATATTTACAGAAGCCTGATTTTCCTGTAAGCAGCTGAGTTGTTTAGTTTTTTTGGACATCGACCCCGTTGGCAAAGACGGAGGTGGGAACAGGCCACTGGAGCTACAGTGACCACAAGGGCTGAACTCGATATCCCGTCTAAGTGAGGAGGTTTACAGAAAGAGAGGCTATGGCCTTTACCCCCTGCTGTGTTTTTTTGTCACCACCTGCAGTGACCTATTGTTATCACTGTGCCATACTCTGTCTTTAATCGGCATGTTGGCTTCAGTCTTTCCCACAATAGTTTACATTGGCTTAGCATATCTCCCATTCATTTTAAGGAGGACCTTGTCAGACTCCCCAGTTCCTTCCCCTGACTTCCACAAAAGTGTCAATCTCCGCACTGTCTGGGTTGTTGGAGGCACTCCTGTATTTGTGTTAACCAATCATACTGGGAATAGTATGCCGGGGAAGACTAATATGCGTGGGGCTGCTGGAACAATGTCCACTCTAAGGAAACTACACCCAGTCTCCACCGAATCCCAAAGAGAGGGGAGAACAGTAGCAGTGAGTATCAGCGGTTTGGTGAGTGTGTGTTTACATGTTTTCAGCCTTCTATAAGCCGCCATGGTCTTGGGAAACAAGCAGGGGTCACAGAGTGTAATCTGTGTACACTGCAATGCCTGGGTTGTAGGAGAAGACAATGAGCAGTAACTGCAGCCAAACAGTCAGACCATCAGCCCTGCAGACAGGGTTAAGCTGGCAGCTGAAGAGTATATTTGTCATGGGGGCTTTTACAGAGTTCTTATTTTGGAGAGACAGCAAAATGTTGCTGTTGAGTAGTAGGCAGCGATGGCCATGGTGTTTTCTGGTGCATTCTCCCATGTGAATACATCAACCATACTCAATCAAGCTGAGTGTAAACATATGGCGTGATGCTCGCCATGTCATGTTACTATAGTGACATGATCATCTAACAGAGACGGGAAAATGTGAATGGAAAGTCTGATGAGTCATGACGTGGTGGGATACTGAGACAGACACAGGCGCAGCAGTGAGGACGCTACTGCGCAGCCAACCGCAGGAACATCTTTCAGATACTGTCCTCGCCATGGCAATGTGGTTACAGCCCTGTCATCGCCGTATGTGACTCCACCCCTGCACTAGGCTAGCCGCGGACCAGCGCTAGCCTGGAGTGCAGCGTGAGCAAAGTGGGTCATCCCTCACGGGGGTAATTACGCCCCAGTGTGTAAAAGCTGATTTTTAACGCCGGCGCTGTGTGTACGCGTCGCGTGGAGCCTGCGTGTGTACGAGGTCACGGTGCAGCAGACGCCATGCCCGTGGCTAGAGGAAACGCCCTCTTCCCGTACTGTACGCCTGATGCGGGACCGTATCGCCCTCTTTACCGGAAATGGTGGGAGAGAGGACCCCTCCAATGTGGCTCCCAGAAGCGTTAAAAACAGACAGAGACGCCTCTGGAGGAAAGCGCCCCCCCACCCCTCGACATCCCCGCGGCGCTCAGTATTTATTTGTCCGTGCGCGTTTGTGTAAATACAGTTCCACCCGCGGCCTGCTTTTCACACCTGGTTCCAATGTGTGAACCGCGCTGGGATTAATGAGAGCGTTTATCCTTTCATTTCTCCTTTATTAACACACCTCCGCTCCCCCACTCCCCCCCCCCCGCTCGTTAAAGCCGCCCCCTCCTCAGATGTGTGAGATTGTTTTCCCATGCCTTCACCTGGCATTTAACAGTCCCTCTAATGGAGCACAGAGCGTGCAGAGAGCGCGGCTCCAAATGTTTGGTTTCAGGCCATTCCATTGAA